TACTGGCCTCAAGGAACACACAGTGACTCTCCGACTGACGGAATGGTGTAATCGCGGATATAGCATAACAGCTACAGTAACCAATTTAAAGGAATGGGAATTTTGAGTGTCAAGTTGAGCACACGCGCTAAGAGGAGCGAGATGTTAGTGGTCGTTTCTGGTGGTTATTACAAATCCCCTTTTCCGATCTGATACAGGCTGGTGAGTGCTCAATGTACAGAGATTCCAGCTGTCGGCCTGCCTTCTCCGAGTGTGAATATTTGAATCAGGTGCATGGGTAAATGTGTGTTTCGTGGTGTGGTGGTGTGTGTGGTGTAAATGTGTGTGTGTGTGTGTAACCTCTTCACACACTAACTCATTCAGCAACCTTTAATATTGCTGCTGATTGTGTAGGTTTTTAATTAGTACATTGATTATTGTGGGAAAAATCTTGTTTGGTCTGATTGTTTATTTACTTTGTTTGCATTCAGTTTTTATGTATTTTGTGTTTGCCTGTGTTTGGCTGTGTGTAAGCAAGTCACTCAGTTTATCTTTGTGTTTGTGTTTGTGTCAGGCATGTGTCGCTGAGAAAGGTTGACAGCCACCAAAGTCAAAGCGTGGCTTCAGGTTGGCAGGTGCATTTAAGTTGTGTCTGTCCTGTCCATATGAAAGAAAGACAACAAGAGAGAAGGGGAAGTGAAATGAAGACAGAATAGGCATGTTTCTTTAGCAAGTGCAAGAAAAGATGAAAAAATAATCTGAATGACATTGAGTACAATGTGTCTGAGCTGGTTGTATGTTTAGAAATATGTTTAAATATAGTTTGATACAGAGAGAATCTCAAACACTACAATGAGTTATATAAAATGTTTGGTACCGTTGGATTCAATTTCAATAACAATATGCTTTGATCCCGCAAATCTGATATTTAACAGGTCAAATTAATATTAAAGTTACTTTTGTCTGATGTAAAACTAATTGTCTCCCAATTAAGGCAGGATTAATTTAAGATTTTGTCATGTGTATCCCTGTCCTGACAGTTTACAGCAGATTTTGTGTTTCCACCTCTAACGGTAAAAGATATGTGAGGTTTTTCCTTAACATACTAAATATAGTCATTAGTCATTAATGGGTTAAAGGTCAGGTCCTACCAGCTTTATGTCTTTTAACAGTTTTTGTAAACAGCCTTTATACTGTGTACTGACTGCCGTTCGTTCATATTATCAGTACTGTTTGTCTGTGTTTGGATTTCCATGACCAGATCCCTTGACACTAAATAATTTAGCCTTTTAGCACTTTTAAATTGGTTTGGAGGCCTTTAGATCTAAAGGTTTTTACTTTCTCTTTTCAACCCTGTATCTGTCCTATGAGACTCTCTGACTTTCCTGTCCTGAACACCTAAATATTCTTGATCATCAGTTTTCTGTGCTGGGGGAATATACCTACCTTTCCTGTCTTGTTGTAATGGAATTTCAGCTTGTTGAACGACCTGCAGCGAGCACAGCAGGTCGATTTTGACAAGTGTCTCGGCTAAATACAACAAACATGAGTGGCTTGTCCTGGGCTGGCAGAGTTGGTGGCGTTATGGCTCCAGCGTTAGGGAAAGTATTTCTGGCTGCTCGTTGGTGCCCTGGACAGCTCACAGACCCGAGGCAAAGAGCCAAGGCAGAGGGCCACGCACAGGGCAAGAGTAAAATATTCATAAAAAGAGAAAGAGAAACAGAGGTCTATGGGTTCAAAGAGAGGAAGAATGAAAGAGCTATGGTTTTTTTTTCTATTGCACCAATTGAATTCGATTTATTTTTAATGGAAGTGAATCTTAGATTACTTGAGAGATGAGAGGAGGGAAGAGGCCGAGTGAAAAAGCGTGACTAAAGAATAGAGGACAAAAAGATGAGATAAGACAGAGGGATGAGAAATTGGGATTACAGATTAAGATGAACTTTGCAACAGAGAGATACAGAGAGGGAAAAGAAGAAAAAAAACAGGCAGACAATAAAGGAGTTACCAATCGTCTGTGCCCCAGATCTGTCACTCAAATCCATTAAAACATTTATTATGACAAGGAGGCATCGATTCAATTTAATACAGGTAGACGATACATTATTTATCATCTGGAGCGATTCCTCAGAACCATCTGGTGCTTGGAAGCATATCGAATTCAACTGGCCTACTTGTTTAGCGTAGCCTGTATATATATTTGTATGTCTCTGTGCATTTTACGGTGCGAGCTTAATACCAAGATTGATGTGATGCTTGTGTGGGCGTGTTTGTGATGTGATCACCTGAGGCACGGAGGGGAGGTAGCTCAGGTGTGTGAGTCTGTGTGCACGACACTGAGTGTGTGTGTGTGTGTGTGTGTTTGTGTCCAGCCAATATTCGAGCCAAGAGAATAAAATTGGAAAAGAGAGCGGAGAGTGCAAAGATGACAGAGCAAAACTGAGAGAAGTGGAAGGATGTAGAAGAAGATGGAAATGGAGTGATAAAGGCTGAGGGGAGACACGAAGGGAGAATAACGTGCCAGAGTGGGAATGAAAAGTGGGAGGTGATAAAGACTGATAAGAAGAGTGATTGAGGGAAGAGGAGAGAGAGAGAGAGAGCTGTTGCTATCTGACCTTCAGTCTTTCTCCACTAGTCTTCTGCTAGAGGAAGAAGGGATCATATGGAGAAATGATGGAAAAGAGGATGGCGGTAATCTGACTAATGCCGTATTTGAGAGGAGAGGAGTGAGAAGGCGTGTGTTATTCAGCCCTAGTGGATGTGATGGAGAAAAGGTCAGCTATTCTTAGTCTTTGCCAACCCCAGTATGATGCGTTTAGCTGGCTAAACGGTGAGATGCTTGAGCTTCACTGTGTGAGGAAGGGCCTAAAAAAGTCTTATATCCTGTATATATCCTTCCAGTAAGCAGCCGTCTTTAAAATCTGTTTGAAAAGTGAATGTTTTTAATGTCCACTTTATATTCTATTTCCATTCCAACAACGTCTCATTTTAATGTCTGTATTTCGAACATAAATGTTGTCTTATGTACACCAGGTACACAGGTGAAAAATGTAATTATGTGAAAGAC